TTTTATTAGTTCCATAGCAGGTAAGTAATTATGATTTTTTTTCCTTTCTTAAATCCTCAACCTGATTTAATTACTGAGTAAGAGTTTTTTTTCCAACTTAATTGTGTATGTAGAGCATGTGGATTTAATCGAATCTCTTAATATTGAGACTTTTGAAGAATTTAGTTTGTCAAATGCTCATTTTTTTGTCTTGTGTTAATTGATCTAGAGGTTCACAATTGTTTGTATGCTTGTATTCGCGATGATAATTTTTTTTTCTTATTTGTGCTTTCTCAGTCTCAAATTTGGTTGCGATAGACATGGCAAAGGCTGTAACTCTGGATAAAGTACTGGTAAGAATATCTTTTGATTCATATTTTGTTCAAACCATTAGTTCCTTGCTCCCTTGAATTCTTCACTTCTCTCAATAAGCATACCTATACTTACATTTTTTTTTACCTATTTCTATCTTGAAGTTTTCATATTCGGTGTCCTTGTATCGCATTTGGTTGTGTTATTTTTGGAGTATTTTACAGATTATATCGCTTGTGTAAGCTAAAGGGTTCAATTTTCTTTTCCTTTTGAGTTAGGAGGAGACTGTTTCTGTTTATACTTTGGCTGATGGAAGCATTGGGGACTGGTTTGGAGGTTTCTTATATTCATCTGGGCAACAAGCTAATGAAGCTGTTCAAGGCCAGTTATCAGCACTCAGTTTTACAAGGTTTGTCTCAACACTATTACCTTCAATTTGCTATCATATTTCTGAAAATTTATTACTGCTTTTTTCTCATGCACTATGTTTCACTGCTTATTCTGCTTTACAGTTTGGCAGTGATTTTTGGAGCAGGGCTTGTAACCAGCCTTTCTCCTTGTACATTAAGTGTTTTACCGTTGACCCTTGGTTACATTGGTAAGTATTTGTTAGATGTAGATTTGGCAGCGAATGGATTTATACTACTATTTTGTAATATCCCTTCACTCTTTTGCATCTCTTATGAGCTCTGATACTTGATTTCGGCCTTGTTTGGATCATGCAGGAGCATTTGGCTCTGGAAAGAGCAGGGCAGAGGTTATGACTCGTTAAACGGCTTATCTGCATTTTATGTTTCCCTTACTTTCTTATTTCACACATTGAGCTCAAATTGCAAATCTTGAAATTAGTTCAGAATGAAATGGAAAGATTTTAGAATATTTCGAGTAGAAAAGGAAGTCAAAGATGTTGTTGGCATTTTTTACCACCAAGACTATACAAATCATGTTGTGGCGGGATATGGTCCTTCTCTCAGAACACTGAAAATTTGCAGTGCAAATATCCCTTTCTCTGTCTCACTTTCTTGCACACACCAGACACACACAGACGGTCAAATATGCACTCGCACATATTTCGTGCTCAAAGCCTCAAACATGTTTGATTGTGTTTCTGGTTAGATTGTTGGGGATTCTATTGCATTTGCTTTGGGATTGGCAACTACACTAGCTCTTCTCGGCATAGCAGCCTCGTTTGCTGGAAAGACATATGGGCAGATAGGACAAGGATTGCCCTTGGCTGCTTCTGGTCTGGCTGTTATCATGGGTCTAAATCTTCTTGAGGTGATGATATATTTTGATTGATGTATGATTTATGTGCATCACAATTTTTAGGGTTTTTACATGATGATGGATTTCAATGTCATGCCTCCTATTTATGGGGCTCATTTTGTGGGTCATTGTGCAGATTATTGAATTACAACTACCTTCCTTTTTCAACAACTTTGATCCCCGTGCTGCTGCTGCTAATTTTCCATCAAGTAATTGGCCTTCTCAACTCTAAGCAATTTGTCAACTATTCATTATCAAGGTGACCTGTGTTCTCTGCATGTTCTTGAATGTTTTGAATAAGATGGAAGTATGACATTCTAGGTGTGCAAGCATATTTAGCTGGGCTTACTTTTGCACTAGCAGCCTCGCCTTGCAGTACACCTGTGCTGGCCACTTTGCTGGGATATGTGGCTGCATCTAAGGTATTCTAAAACTACCAGAGTTCTTTGAGTCCTAGTGAGCTTAAGTTCTTTTAAGATTGCAGATCAGACACATATGCATAAACGTACTACTTTGAACTTGCCGGTCATAAAACACAAATTTTTTCCTTTTTGTTGGAAGAACTAATCATTTGCTATTGGGATTAGTTACTGCAGTTATTTTGTTTCATGTAAACATATTATCTGAAACTCGTAAAAGATCAGTCACATGGGGAGAGCTTTTTTTTTTCTCCCGAAATATTTTAATTACTGGTACACCTAGAGGAAAGAAAGAGTTATATGCTCAGTGCAAATTCTATTTGAAGGTTTGGAAAGTTGAAGGGCTTGTAGTGATGACTTTTTGAGTGGATGTTCACACTGAAATGCTACATGGAAAGGTAAAGAAAATGAAAGGAAGGGAAAGCATCAGTGGAGTAATGGATTAGTTATATTCAGAGTAATGTTTGGTGCATTGTATCCCGAATTCATTTTTGAAGGCTCATTTTGTTTGCTTTGCATATTTGTCAATAACAGGATCCAGTCGTAGGAGGCAGCTTACTCTTAACATACACAACTGGCTATGTTGCTCCTCTACTCCTCGCAGCTTCTTTTGCTGGAGCATTGCAGGTACTTGATTTTCTACTGCTGGGGATACAGCCATTATTTCAGTTAAATCAACTTTATGTGCAGCTATGTTTCTAGTGCCTGGAATTAGGCCTGGGCCTAATGCATAATTATTGTAACTCCTGTAACTAGCGGTGCTAGTAGTAGCTTAGCACAGGTATAAATTGGTTATTGGAGTGGGATTAATTTGTAGTCTTCCGTTCTGATTTTTCATTTTCATTTTTAGAAAACCTGACCTCTTAACTACATTTGCAGAGCTTGCTGTCATTCCGCAAGTTCTCAGCATGGATCAATCCAATGAGGTATTATTAGAGAATCTTTTATGCTATGAATTTTATGACAGGCAAACTACTGCTTCTGACTCCCGTAATCCATCAATTCATTAAACAATCTGACAGTATATATGGCCATGTTGATCGGTCTATTGTCATATGGAACTCGCACCATTGTGTGGCCATCTTATTGAACTGCATGCATGTCATAAGCTTGTATTTTCAGGTCGCAGGTTCCCTGGAGTCGCCGTTCTGATACATGTTTGAATTTGATTGGTTGGCAGTGGTGCACTTTTGTTAGGAGGGGGCGTGTACACTTTCTTGGATAGGCTCTTCCCACCCACAATGGCAATGTAGATTTACCATCCTCAGGCTCTGTATAGACTTACTATACATTTGGAAACTTGCATACAGCAGGATTGACCTCACTCATGTTGCTGGTCAGTACTTGTTACTTAAATACACGTTGACGTTGTAATATAATATCATTTCTCCACCAAGATCGTTACTAGTGTTGTTATTTAATAAAATTATTATTATTATTTTGTCATGGCTTGTGTGTGTGTATTATTTTCTTATCCACATTGGCCAAATTGTCTTAATGGAGCCTTGGAAATCAACTTCACATCTCATCAAAGTAAACCGATTATCAAAATATTTCAATCAAACATTTACAGAAATCGTGAACATTTATATGCTGTGTTTTATAAGGCATGCAAGGAATTTGTATTCAATTATTCTTAAAAAAAATGCATATTTGCCACTATAGACCAGGTTTACACAGTGATGAACATTATCTCAACTCAAAAATGGATTATAGTTTCATTTTATATACAAATGCTTTAGTTTTCTCAACCCACACTAGTATAGAATATTTTACTATCCATGCGTGTATCTAATAAATGCCCAAATGACATTTGATAAAAATTTTGAATTTTTTATTTTTTGTGTTAGATTGTTTTGATATTGACATTAAAAATAAATTTTAAAAAATAAAAAATATTTTTAAAAAAATTATTACTGTAATGCTAAAAATCACATTAACAAGATAAAAAAGAATAGATAAAAAAGATGAGAAAAGGCACTATTTAAAAAGTATATGTGTTACTTAACTTTCCTCTCCACAACATTAAAACACAGTTTGTAACTGTTTGATAATATTCATAGTTTAATGTGATTTTTACGTTTGAAACGAGGGTATTCTTACTTTTCATATACTATGCATACTAATTGTATTATTCACTGAATATTGTAATTAACATAAACACTGTATGAGTGTATATTGATACACTGTTGATGTGAACAGTTGCGTTGTTTATTTAAAAATAATAAACAATATAATTCACTTGCATTGTTTACATGATTTTTTTCAGCGTGTTAATTTTATTAATAATTTTAAAAAAAAAATTAATTTAGAGTGAATTAAATTTACTCGCACTGTAATATTAATTTTATACCTAATAATATTTTATTTAATTTTATTACATGCTCAAAAATTTTTAAAAACTGTAGTTCTTATCGGATGAATTTTGTAAGTAATGGAATTATAAATAGTTTAATGGAATAATAAAAAATATTTTATATAAAGAATTATTTATTTCATGATGTAATAGGAGTAATTAATTCTATAATATTTAAATTTTAAACCATCAATATTAATATATATTTTTTAAAATTATTTTATAACCTCAATTTCAAAAACATTCTTAACCAAATATAATAAATTATTTTTTTTTCAACTTTAATTTCAACCATAATTTTAACTAAACACCTATTTTTTCAAACCAATCTCAACTAAAAATACTTTTTATAAAATAACTTTTTTCAAAATACAACCACAACAGCTACCACAATATCAAATAAGAGCATAACTAATACCAAAATTAACAATAAAAACATGGAAATTCAAATTTCTAATTTCTATTACCATCCACAAATAAAATTGAGCATATACACTAATATTTGAACGTTTGATGTAATGTTCATCATCTAATTTCCTCATATTTACACCTTTAAAAAAAAAAATACAATCAGGTTTCTACACATTTATTTTTCCAATTTGATTAAAACAAACAAGTATATAATTCATGAAGATTTTACTTATTATAGTAAGAAGTAATTCCAAATCCAACATAAAAACTGGGACAGTACCATTTTATTTTATTTATTTTAAAAAGAGAGGAAATTAATACATGGGGTTTAAATTAAAATCAATTATAATACATTGTTATTTTGTATCTGCAAGGTACGTCTAATCCGTGATCAGTTCCTTTACCAACACTGGACGGGTCCTAAAATCACCTCCTTTCTTCACTTAATTCTTACCCCTTTCATTCAACAGAAGATGGTGAGACAAACAAGGTCTAATATGCTCCACGACCAATCATCTCTTGATACTGGTTCAAAGACTCCTGCCTTTGCAACCTCATTTCCTCGTTAAACTTCTTTATAAACGCCTCAACTCGCTTGTTCAACTCGTCCTGACCCAGTGAAGGTTCTCTACCGAGTTTCCCTGACCCTTGCGGACTCCGAGCAAGCTTCTCTGGCTTGGTGCTGCTGCTCCTATCGTTGAAAGTCTCAGATTTCTTCGTCCGTTTTGGTGGGCGGGTGCTGTCTCGGCGCACGTGTGTTTCCCACGTGTCGGACTTCTTGAGGTGTCTGGTTAGTGGCATCGGACGGCCATCCGTTATCGTCTTCCACGTGCTCTCCAGCGTGTCGTACCGTTTTGGTTTTGCCACTCCCAACGCTGCTGGTGCTGCTGCCTTCCCATTACCTAAAACAAGAATTTACCCAACAATGTTTCATTAAGATTATCATAATCATCTGCAATTTCGATTCATGTTTCTCCATGATTATAAGACTCGGCGCGGAATGACGAATCACCAAGTTAACTTGGAGGATCTTATAACGAGGTTTCTATGGATTTATTGGATAATCATGATCTCGATTACAAGAGGAATTATCCTGTAACATAATCACATGGGTTTAATCCTCCTTTACTCGTAACTTAAATAATTGAGAGATAATAAAAAGAATTATTAAGAGGGTCAGGAGGAAAAATAATTTCTTTTTTTGTTTTGTTTGTAATAGCTGATGAGAGAAGTGCTTATTTCAAAGCAGCTTTGTCGTTGTAAAAATAAAAATCGATCCCATGACAGATACTGGCCCCAAACATTCAGAAATGCATACTGGGAATCTAGTAAACAAATTGTAATAGTAATTGGTGCAACTCTGCATAGTATTTGCTAATTCATAAGCAAGTAGTAGCTAAAATCTCGGTTTTTGTGTGTAAGAATTAAAAGAGAGAATTTACCTTCAGGAGTTGCTTTCAAAGATTTCCTGCGACCCAATCTTGCAGAAACCAATGGTTTCTCTTTCTCAAACAAGAACTCCATAGATGGGGCTGTCTTACCACCCTCTTCACTCTCATATACCCCAATAGTCTTCACCGTACAATCCTCCACGGCCGCAGCCTTCCAGTCCACATCCGAATGTTGATAATTACTACCATATTGATCACTTGAAACAATAGCATCATTATTATTATAATCACTTCTTGCACGAACAGAAATATTTTCCACCTGCACCGGAGGGGCAACAATATCCGCTGATGATGGCAAGGGTACTTGTTGCTCTTGGCTTGTCTTTTGAAGTTGAAGCTTGGAAGAGGCGACAATAGAAATGATTATGCAGTTGACGACCAAGTAAAGATAAGGTGGCTGAAGCCAAGAAAGAACGGAGGAGTACATGATTGGTAGCTCAGAGACCGCAAAATCTGCTACTACTGAAAGGACCGATAGCTTTAGTATCAGCGCTAAAGATAACACCCCAGCTGATATCAAAGCCACTTTGAGAGAGAGCATTGGATTTCCGGAACTTGATGCAGGAAGCACCATTATTTTCTTCTTCACTCAAAATGGAGCTTCAAGAATCAAGATTGTTCAAGATCCTCGGGCTCTTAACAAGTGCAGATCGCAGAAAGAGAGAAGAAGGGAATGTGAGAAAATTGCGAGGTGAGAAAATGGAAGGTGGTATGTTATATGGAATGGAGTTGAAGAGAGTTTGTGGTGAAAAGGGGACCGAAAGATGAAAGGAGGACATGGCATTGGAAGAATTCAAGGGGCACTGGTGTGGGGCCTAGCGGTGTTTCCACGAACCGATGTTATTTGCCGTATAATAAGAGTTTATCCATTAGGGTTTTTCATGTATTTAATTTTGAGCTCATTTTCCCTATAAAAACAATCTTTTTCGTCCACCAGACAGGATGATCATGTTTTTCTACACTAGTTCTGATTATAATTAATTTGAAAGACTCATTAATCACACAACAATAAAGAGGGAATCTTTTTCGTCCACCAGACAGGCGATGAACATGTTTTTCTACCGAATATGCATGCCAGTTTCTCATACCAATCAAAGTGATATTTGTTGAAATTTTAATTTTTCTAATCTGGAGATTTATGTCCAAACCCTCTGAATGAGAAGGCCGGAAGTAATTGGATTAGAAAAATATAAGACTATTGTCCAAACCTTAATGACAGCGATCATACGGATCATATTAGCTGGCTTAATTTCCATTAGTGACAACTAACGAATTATGCCTCATGTAAGAATTAGAGGCGATGAGGGTTCAGACATTTTAATCGGATAACGTCGAGCATCAACATCCTGTTAGGCGATAATTATCAAATCCATGCTTGACGCCCCCTAAATCTGTTTGCCACTATCCGGCCGTTCCAACTAATTTTAGGTTCCCGACTTACAAAGAAAAGAAAAGGTATAGTTTGGATCCTGGATCAGTTACCATGTAGTTTTCCTCATTATGCCTTTGAATTCCTTTCCAAGGCAATATGGAGCTTTAACAAAAGATCAAATCAATCATGATCACCCTTATTTTCATCTCAAATAATTGATGGAAATTTTCTGTAATAAATAATGATAAAATACTTTCCATCAATAATTTTCTAGCAGTGGAATTATGATAGTAATTTGCAAGGAACTGCTATTTTATCAAAACATGGCGTGGGGATGAAAGGTAATTATATATTAAGACCAAGATATGATGAGGAGGCATAGGGGGGAGGACTGGACATGTGCATTGAGATGGTCAAATGTTTACAGACACTGTTGTGTTGAATAAAAGATTACAGGATTTTCAATGTGTGAACTCATAATATTTAAATTTAACCATTAAAACCAAGATCTACTAGCTACAAAACAAACGCATGCCATTGCTCTGCATAAAACATATAATTAAAAGGATTGGCGTCGATTCTTAATTTTTTTAATAAAACAATAATATTCTGGCTTCCTTGTGCATGCACTGCATGAAATATATTTCTAAAGGAACTAGTACTCATGGCTTCTCTAAGAGTCTAGACGCTTCATTAGGTAAACTATATGTAACTATGTTGTGATCCTTATTGTTTCATCAATGTTCCATTTCTACAATTACAGTCTATAATTTTCTAATTCTTTTAGTTTTTTATGAATGTAAAAGTTTCATTTTTCCCTTTACTGCTAAACAAATAAGGACAAACCTCTTTTCTTTTCATATTTTTTTATTTTTCTTATTTTCTCTAATTATTTCATCTTAAATTCCCACAAATATTACAATATCTCACAAGGAAAACCTGAAATCCTGAAAACAAATTCTCAAATACCAAATTCAAAAGGCAGATTATTTAATGATTAATTGGCGGTACAATTGAAACCATCTAAAACTAAAAGGGTAGCATTAAGAAGTTTTGAACTCCAGGGAAAAAGTTAAAGCGTAACCTAAATTTTTTATCCTTAATGCTACAGGTCAGCTAGAACATGTGATTTTTTATAATCATAATCTCACCATTAGAGTCGGAGGGATCCTGAATCTCCGGTGATGTTCGAGAGGTAATTAGTCTTATGGGTCTCCCATGTGCCGAGCAGCCTAATGGGTGCCGACCATGAGTTTGTTCCTCGGAAAGAAAACTGTAACAAATGGAATATGAAGACACGGCAGTGGTGGTACTGCTCAGTCCAAAATGATAAGTCCACGGATACCCGACGACTAATGAAGACATGTGAAATGCTCACATGCTTTGTTATTTTGCCTGTAACAACACATTTATTTTAATGTTATGTTTGGATCAGAGAGAGGGAGTTTGTGTTTTTTTTTTTAAAAAAGTAAAAAACATGTTTTTTTAATTTTTAAAAATGTAATTTATATTTGAAAGATATTATATTTTTTTAAAAAAACTACCCCACTTCCAAGCCAAACACACCCTTAATTTTGTTGCTTTTCTCTACTTTATTTTAACAAATGACTAAGATTTGCGGATGCAATTTTTTTTTTTTTTTGGACTGTGTTATTGTAGGTTTTGATCATTTGCTATATATAGCTGGTAGCAGCAAGAAAATTTAAATATTTCTATAAATACTTAGACGAGCTAAAATCACTACAAGATTTATTATTATTCACACTACATACCTTTTGTTTTCATTCCAACGATGGGGAAATATATTTGACAAGAAAATATTATCACTAACAATTTATTATTATTAAATTAATACTTCTTCAATGCATTTTATTTTATAATTTTAACATGTTTATATATCAAAAAAATTATAAAATTTTTTTAAATTTATTTTCAACTGAAAAAACATCTTTAAAAAGCGATTACCGATTACATTAGGTAGACCTTCTGCGCTAGTCCACTCAATCGATGCCTAATTTTGGGTGGAAATTAAATGGAGTAACAACGTGCAAGCCGATAATTGGCAACAAATTCTAACAAGCAAGAGAGCTCGGGTGATTGGTGAAGGTCTCAAAATCTTGGACTTTCAGTAAGACAGAAAAGAAAACACCAACCTTCCAATCAATAATTGTCCGATCTTGACATGTTTCAGAATCCTTCTCAATTTTGTTCACATTTCTTGCAAGTAAGTACGTCACGAAACCACAATTCAACGATCCAAGATTTTTTTTCTTTTTTTTTTCTTTTTTTTTTTCTGGAAAAAAATCACACGAATACGTACACATGCATTCCAGTGTGATCTCCTTATTATTTTAGACGAGAAGATGTTTTTACAAATTTTAATAACCTGAAGCAACATGGTTTAATAACCTATAAATTAAATTAAAGCCAATTTAGAATTAAATTCAGCCCGTGCTTGAAATAAAAATAATTAATAAGAACAAGAGAGAATTGCTTGGTTCTATATATATATATATATATATACACTCCCTCAATGCCAAATTAAATTAAATGCCCTATACACTTTCACTTAGACAAAATCATTATTTTTTCCCCAAAATGCTGTGTTTTTTCATTTAGGGAATTTAGTGATTGATCAGGAAGTACTGAACATGGCGACATGAGGATCTCATTTATTTATTCCCCACCTTCAAATAAATGTCATTCATTTTTAATCAGACCTTGCATTCTTGCATGCTATAGAAGATATTTAAAAAGAACAATTTAAGATTTTCAAGAAGAATTTGCTGTCAATCTTGATCAATGGATTAATTCATGATTTTCATAACTACAAGGACTAACTTATAAGATTGTAAGAATACAGGGATTGAATTGTAATTTACTCTTTCTATGTTACTATCTATACTAATCTCTCGATATTTTTTGGAGGATCTTCTTAATATGTCAAAACAAAATAGTGGGAGATAAACGATTCCAAGCTTCCAACTAGCTTGCATTTAATCTTAATAATATAAAATGAAAATATTTACTTAACAATTTAGATCGATCATGTATAACTTGGAGGCTTATATGAAGAAGATAATAATTGTAGAGGTTAGTAGAATCACCTACACCAAATAATTTCGACAATATTGTCCTTATTCGTCCAATAAAATTACGTTTATCTCATTAGCAATCTCAAGTCTCGACCACTAGCTCTAAATCACCAACTAAACACTAATTTCTTTGCATTTCTTCCTTCCTTATGATACCTTTCCCTTAATTATTGTCAAGTCCCACTCACAGCACCAGATACCTGGGCTTGAAGCTTGAATTAATCCACGTCTTTCCCACCTTCACAACAATGCTGCTAGCACTAAGAATGTACTTTGAACTGATTGATTCCACGGAACAACACGTTCTGATGGTCATAGATAGATGATGATGTCAAATGATTAGCAAGAGCGGCACTTAATTATCATGCTGATAGATAAGTGGCTGAATTCCCATTTCGATTAGGACAGAGACTTGAAGATACGTAGGAAGGAGTGGGGAACAAAGGTAGGTTGCGTGAATGTTAAGTCTTCCCATAACGATTAGGACAGAGACTTGAAGACGCGTAGGAAGGAACGGGGAACAAAGGTAGGTTGCCTGAATGTTATGTCTTCCCATAACGAGTAGGACAGACTTGAAGATACGTAGGAAGGAGGGGGTAACAAAGGTAGGTTGCCTGAATGTAAAGTCTGAAATGATAAGTGTTATCACTACCAAGAAAATAAACACAATCGGCCCTCACAGAAAATGATTGGAAAAGGGAGCCAAGTAAATTGTAAAATTTCAGCTATCATCAACGTGCTAAACTGTCAATCATGGAGCTTCCTCGGAGAAAGTATGTTCCTTTTCCAGACTTCCAGTATCAGTGCAAGAATGCCCAGTGTGGCATGCATGAAAGAGCAAATAAAAGCCTCTTTTTGTAGAAACTAGTTTTCTGCACGTGATAAGATCATCTCCATGTCATTTTAAATACCCGTTATCTCGTTTATTGCCTTAACTTCTATTTCTTGATCAATCATTTGTTTCCTTGCACTATCATTACATTTCCTTCTTATGCTCATGATGAAGTGAATCTCTTTTTACCACCACATAACAAACTTTATGTAGAATTTGCATTTCTCTTGGTTTTTATCATATTAAAATGGGACGTTCCTTTTTTTGTTCTTCTGAAATTACAGTTTATATGCTGCATAAACTCAATTTTTAAATATAAACAAAAAGATTAAACTTCCTTGAATATAATATAAAAAAAAGGAAGTGAACAAATGACTAATCTCTCCACCTTTCTCTCATTTGTAACCCACCCTAAAATACCACCCATATTCATAACTAGAAAATTGGCTAATACAAAC